CATGTTAAGGTGCAAAGGGTCCAAAATGAAACTTTGTTTGATTTCTTTAAAAATTAAATTGGTGTTCCTTGATATGCTGAATCTAATTGTGTATTTAGGTTTCTTATTTTGATGCCTGTCTTCAAATTGATCCACAAAAGGGTCCGAAATACAACTTTTTTTTATTTAAAAAAATATTGAATTCTTGGGGTTCTTTGATATGCTGAATCTAAGCGTGTATTTAGATTTTTGATTTGGGGCATGGTTGGTCCACATTAAGGTCCATAGGGTTCAAAATTAAACGTTGTTTGATTTAAAAAAATAAAGAATGTAAGCATGTATCTAGATTTTTGATTTTGGGCACAGTATTCAAGATGGTCCATATTGGGGTCCAAAATTGACAAACATTGTTTGATTTCATCAAAAACTAAATTGTTTGTGTTATTTGATATGGTCAATCCAACAGTGTTTTAGATTTTTTGATTTTGTGCTTGGTTTTCAAAGTTGGACCCCATAAAGGTTCAAAGTATCCAAAAATAAAACTTAGTTTGATTTTAACAAAAAATGAAACAATGTGGTTATATGATATGCTGAATCCAACCATGTATTTAGAATTTGAATATTGGACCATAATTGGTAAATGTCCAATTTTAAAATTATCTAAGAACTTATATCACATTCATTCTGTGTCAAAACTATGCTATTATTACATATTTGCTCAGAATCAAAATTCAGAGATGTTATTGTACAATTAACAGAAATTTTAAGTTGGGTCATAGATGAAAATAGATATAACATCATATCTAATTTTAGAGAACTATTTTTGTGGTTTTACATCACTTGTTCATAGAAAATAAATAGGTTCATGGAAAATGAATTGGTTCACAGACAATAACTTTAGTATAAGTGTATGGATGTGTAAGAAATTTTAGCACAAGGTTCCATACTACTAGGGTTGGGATATTAAATAGTTAATCAAGCTCTACATTTATAGATTTATTGTACAACTAATGGAAATTTTAAATTGAGTCATAGTTTAAAATAGATTTGCTGATTCAGATATATTAATTGTGGTGATAATTGTGTATAATGCATTGTGTTCTATTCAAAGAATGTGAACATATTTGAATATTTTCTTATGGTTGAAAATTTCCTTGGAAATTAAAATAGACCTTTGTCTATCTGTTGAAGTGGAAGTGTAGGTAAGTGAAGTTTGTAAATACAATTGTGCCATACATTACCGGTATGTTATGTTACATCGTAATTAAAAAAAAAGTTATTTTTAGATAATAAACTATTTTTATAGATAGATAGATATGTTGCAGATATTAGTTTGTGACAAATGGAAAACATTTTACTTCTTTCCAAATAACACAAAACCCTATAATTACAAAAATTCATTATACTCTTGCTTGATAGTTACCCCCCCCCCCCCCCCCCAAATTATTTTCATCAATTAAAAAACAACTTTAATCGGTAAAAGTATATTTATAAAACTTATCAGTAACCAAACATGAAATAATAAGTCATGATTACACATTAACACATACAACAAAAATAGATTAACAACAACTATGATATCTACTTTCATTTCAAAACACACATGACTTTAAAAAAAAGAGTTTAAAAGAAACTTTTGACAGCTCCTGACTAAATCTAATAAAACAGATACAATTATTGATTACACCATTTCTTTTCAAAGGGAAATAACACAAAATACAATGAAATCATAAGTCACACTTAACAAATAACATTATCTCCCTTTGAATACTAATTTCCAAACATTTATAACCACAATTCCCATGCAAATCAACTGCTATTAAACACTTTTTCTAACAACAGCAAACCCTGTTTATAAAACTTATCAGTAACCAAACCTGAAATTATAATTCATGCTTAAACATTAACACGTACAACAAAAATAAAATACCACATAACAACTATGACTTTTACCTTCAAAACACACATGACTTTAAAAAAAATATTATAAAGAAACTTTTGACAACTGACTTAAATCAATGAAACAGATACAATCATTGATACACTGTCTATCCATATACTTATTAATTACACCATTTCTGTTCAAAGGGAAATAACTCAAAATGCAATAAAATCACAATTCACTATTAAACACATAACATTATCTCCCTTTGAATACAAATTTCCAAACATTTCTAGGTGGCACAATAGTATTTACATTCCAGTATTTAGGTTGCTCATTTGTGTACCCTACTTAAGTCAATGTATCTGAACAGTGTGATTGGACAAAACATAGTTTCTACTAAACAGACTTTCCCAAACTGAGGAATGAATCACGTAAATAATTTTACATACAGGTGAAAAAGAATTTTTTTGAATTTTATATTCACTGCATGATAAAAAAAACATAAAAACAAAAAGTGGCCTCAGGTTAAGAAAGATAGCAAAAAAAGTAAACGGTCCCTCCTAGGATCAGAAATGTTCAGTAGCCAAAAGTTGCCAATCATGATATTCAATCCCTAGACACAAAACATTCTGGATCAGCGGTGGTGTCCAAAGTAAATTATGTAAAAAACTGTTGGAAATATTGAAAATTTCACCAAAAACTGACGTTTCCACACAAATAAGGCATACTTGAGGGATAATTTATTCGTCATTTTCAATGTGATGTGTCAAAAAGAAGTTACCTTGTATAAATAAGTTATATCACAACTATTTCTATTTGAAATTTGTAGTATTTTGGCCTGATTTAAAAAAACATCAAATTCTTAGGGCCAGTTTGAACCATTTTTGATCTTACTCCTATATTGATTTCTTGGTATACTTGAATATGCTGAATCTGTCCAAATATAAGTCCAAAAATTAACTATGTGACATTCTTTAATGTGCTAAATCTAACCTTGTATTTAGATTTTGGATTTGCACAGGCCTGTTATCAAATTGGACCACAGTGATGTCGAAAATTAAAGTTTGTTTGATTTCATCAAGAATCAAATTCTTAGGGTTCTATGATAACCTGAATCTAACCATGTATTTAGATTTTGGAAATTGGGCCATGATAGGTAAAAGTCCAATTTCAATTTTTCCAGTTCTTTGACCACATTCATTCTGTGTCAGAACCCTATGTTATGTCAAATATTTAATCACAATCCAAAACCAGAGCTGTATCAAACTTGAATGTAGTGTCCATACTTGCCCAAACTGTTCTGGGTTTCGACCTCTGAGGTCGTATCAAGCAGCAACCAGCGGAGCATTTTATTGCCTTATATCTTAAAAATTATAATAGATACCGGTAGATAGAAACTTAAAGAAGCAAAAATGATCAGCAAGACAAGATCTACATTTAAGACAATATGAAGGACATTTTTGGACGACTCCTTATTGGAGTTATTGCCCTTTAATGATGATTTTTACCATTTTTTTTGCGTTTTGCCGTATATGATAAAAATTATAATAGATAGATCTATAGAAACTTTAAAAACAAAATAAGATCAACAAGGCAAGATCCACAAACAAGTCAAATTTGACGATAAAGTTAGTAGACTGTCACTCTTCATAGGAGTGATTGCCCCTAAATGAGGATTTTTTTTACCCTCTTTTGTGTTTTGAGTAAAAATTAAAGAAGATAGAGAGAAACTAAACAGACAAAATGATCAGCAATACAAGATCAACAAAAAAGAAATTTTTGTCATGAATTCTATTCTTGTCTACAATGTTGGAGAGAGTCCATTGTTGATGATGCACATAGACCTAGGTGAGCGACATAGGCTCTCTAGTTGAATTATAAATTTGTGTTTTACAAAATCTCTGATACCGATGTTGGTACTAAATAGTAAACATGTATTTAGTCTATGAGGTACAAATAGTATATGCAGTTGGCCCAATGGGTATGAAATGGTTTTGATCATGGGTAAGAAATAGTAAATGTTGAGTACAGAATGGAAAAAGCTAAGAAATTGCTAAGGAACGAAGTGGCTAGCTACCGGCACTATAATTCCTGATGATCTTCAAAATTAGTTTATTAATACATTTTTTGTTTTACAAATCATATAGTCCAAATAATTATGGCATCTTGTACAGCTTATTCATATTTTTTGGCTGAGCGCCTTCCTTCAAGATAGCCTTACTAGAAGTCATAATGATTTGGACTATCATGGTCATACCTTAATTTCCTTAATCTGTCTATACAAATGGGGCAGCCAGACACATAATTGTGATGATATATTTGTAATGATGACGAATAAATATGTTTAAACTAATAGTTTGCACCCCATTGGTCTGACACCCCAATAGTCCAAAAGCATATTAGTCTGACACTCTATTAGTTCCACATCAACATATATTTAAAAAATAGTTATTACTATCATGACTAGTAATTTTTTGTAATATTAGGAAGCAAAATAATTTGTTCATTCAATATCAAGAGAAGGACCCTGTCCTTCCTAACAGTTGAAGCAAGTTATTATGATAGATTGGTGTGTTAATGCTTATGCCATGAAGTCATCTTCCAGTCAACACATATATATTAAAGAAGGATTGAGATACAGACCCCATGTTTATTGTGACTAAAAAAAATGTTTATATGGGCACCAATATTTTGAAAGAATGAAATAAAAACTGAGCACTTATCTTAAGTGTTCTGTCCTAATTTCACTCTTTTTATAAATTGTAGGCAAATGTCAAAATCATGTTTCCGACAAAATTTTTGGTGGAAGCATTTATCACCTGAAGCAAGGCAGTCACTGAAAGATTGTATTACATCCAAAAGGGACATTGCAGATTGCAATTGTTTGTTGTGCAAAAGGGATGTGCATATTGTTGCATCCATTGCTTGTGATGGCTGTCTTTAGTAGTTTCATCACAAATGAGTCAGTCTTAAACATGCCTCAAAAGGCACATACTGGGTGTGCAGAGGTTGCCTTATAAATAAACTGAACAATGCTATATATTGTATTATTGAATTAATTTATCTCTTTTTAATTTTTTTTTTTTAAATATAAGTTCAATGAGGTCTGATTGAAACTATAAACATTTATATTTAGATTACAGTACATACATAGCAGCATGGAGATGGTTGGTAGCTATATTTGCTTCTTTACTATTAGCATGGTATGGCCTAAGAAAGAAAAGTTTGGATAAATCTGGTGCAGTAGCAGGTAAGTTTATTCCGATTCACTATTTCATGTTTGATATGTAAGAAATTAATGACAATATGTTTTTGTAGTATAAAAAAGATGAGTTAAGAATTATCTGGTTATGCTAGCAGGATAATTTATTGTGGATCCACTATTCTGTGTTTGATGTTTTAAAAGTTATTTATTGCATCTGTGGTTTTATAAAGATTTGACCCTAGGCAGGCCATGTTTTAGACAACTTTTCCTCTAATTGGAATGTGAGGAACTAGGTGTGAAAATACGGAAATATAAATCTAATTCATGGTAATTTCAAGTCAACATCAGGATGCAATGCATGATTTCTGTGGCAGATTCAAATATAAGAAAATGTACAAAAACATCTGGATTAGTATGGCAAATTGAAATGGATGTCAATTGAACAAAGGCAGGAAAGTTTATGATGTTGTTGTGTACAAATTTATCATTGCCTAATCAGTTTTGCAAGTTATAGTATTCAGGATATAATATAGACATGATAGAAGGCACTTTGCAGCAACAACAAAATATCATGATAAATTTTCATTTTTTTTATCCTCACCTTTTTCTTAGTGATGGTTTCCATCTTTTGTAATCACTGATTCACCTCTTTTAAATACTTTCCTCTTAAACTAATTAGGGCCTTGGTGGCTGAGCAGTCTTAGAAGTTCATCTACAGTTATCATCAACCTGATGAACACTGACGTTGTGGGTTTCCAACCCTATGGCAAGTGTTTTTAACTCCAATCTTTACTTAATCGACTATGGTAGCTAGTTTTCCTGCTAAATAACAGTGGTTCTCTGCTGATTCTTCCACCAATACAAAGCAGATGCCACAAATTAGCCAAAAGCATGAAAGGGGTATTATCAATTGATCCAGCTAATCACAGAAGGTGCTACTGAAAATAGATCTTTATGGGGTAATTTTTTTATTAAAAGAAGATAAAAAAATTCAATTAAAAAATCCTGAAATATCATATGAGGATCAGTTTGCTCTTTGGGTAAATGATACAATGCTTCCTTTTAAAAGTTATACTGGCAATTCATAGTTTCTTGTTGACCATTAATACCATATGTCTTGTGATTTAAGGTATTGTAGTTGGATTTCCTGCTGACCATTAGCAATGATAATTAACATGTGTCTTGTTATTTCAAAAATTGCAGTTGGTTTCCTGTTGACCATCAGTAACACGTTTTATGTAATTTCAAGTATTGCAGTTGGTTTCCTGTTGACCATCAGTAACACGTGTTATGTAATTTCAGGTATTGCAGTTGGTTTCCTGTTGACCATTAGTAACTTGTGTCTTGTGATTTCAGGTATAGTAGTTGTTTTCCTGTTGACCATAAGAAACTTGTGTCTTGTGATTTCAGGTATTGTAGTTGGTTTCCGGTTGACCATTAGTAACTTGTGTCTTGTGATTTCAGGTATTGTAGTTGGTTTCCGGTTGACCATTAGTAACTTGTGTCTAGTGATTTCAGATATTGTAGTTGGTTTCCGGTTGACCATTAGTAACTTGTCTCTTGAGATTTCAGGCATTGTAGTTGGTTTCTTGTTGTCCATTAGTTACATGTCTCTTGTGATTTCATATATTGTAGTTGGTTTCCTTGACCATTACTAACATGTATCTTGTGATTTCAGGTATCATAGTTGGTTTTCTGTTGACCATTAGTAACTTGTGTTTCTTCACTTCGCTGTTGACGTTCTTCCTGTTAGCATCAAAAGCAACTAAATATAAGTCATTGATGAAGAAGAAGTATGAAGAAGATTTTAAAGAAGGTTTACAGTCTAGAATATTCTAATAGTGAAAAAAAGGACATTCCTTAAAAAAAGCATAAGTAAATGAATTTTAGTCTAAAATTGTCATTTTAAATTGATCTTAACAGGATCTGAGAAGTCTGAACAATAAGTTATTCATGTTCAGCTTTTCAGTCGAATTTCAGACTTATTAGTGCTGTAAAATCAGCTCTGTTCAGACAGTTCGCTTGCAGTGTAATGTTCATGTGTACCGGTAAATAGCAGCACAGAACGGTCTGAAAAAAGAATGAACAGATCTTAATTAACTGCAAGAGAAATGTCTGAATAGTACTGAAGTTACTGCAGTTGATAAGTCTGAAAAACTGAAAATGATGTAATATTTTATTGTTCAGTCTTTTAAGAGCTGTTTAGATCAAAATGACCGTTTCAGATCAAAATTAGTTTACTAGTGAAGTATAACAAACAAAAGAGAAATGATATTTTAGGTGCAATACCACCAAAACAATTACTACTTTAGCTTAAGAAATCAAACAGAAAGTTGAAAATTTTGTTCAAATTACTTCTGAGTATAAATGCAATTCCATTTACATATATATTATACAAGTCTAAATTGAAAACAACATTCAAACCTATGATTGCGTTGGATAAAAACCGCAATTTTTATACGTGTGCATGTAAAACAAATTTCTTGGTAGAGGGGTCTAAATACAGCACAAACAGCATTTTCCAAAAGACCAAAAAAGTGAAAAGTATATTTTAACAAATCGCATTTGACTAACAGGTCAAACAACTGATGTTCTTAAACCCTGCTAACTGCCATTGACAATTACCAAATAAATTGATCACGAGATGTAACTTGGATTTTAATTATTAATTTAATACCAAACAGAAAACAATAAACATGGGGAGAAGATGGTATACCGCAAACATGAGGTGCAAAAATTTGTACACCATATCCGGATTTCAACAATTAATGTCTCTTCAGTGATGTTAGGGATCAAAACGGTATTTGGAAGACCATATAATTTACCTCAATTTAGGATAGACTCTTGAATTTTAAAGAGTCGAAATAGGATGAACGGATCATATAAACCCGAAGGAAAATATAATACAAGCCCAAACGAAAAAATATAAGTCTAAATTGAAAACAACGTTCAAACCTATGATTGCGTTGGATAAAAACTGCAATTTTTATACGTGTGCATTTAAAACAAATTTCTTGGTAGAGGGGTCTAAATACAGCACAAACAACATTTTCCAAAAGACCAAAAAAGTGAAAAAAGTATATTTTAACAAATCGCATTTGACTAACAGGTCGAATAACTGATGTTCTTAATATAGATATATATACATATATTCAATGATATACAAGTTGACATTTTCAAAGTGGTACCACATGCGGTTTGAATTTATGCATACAGAGTGTAACTTTATTTAAATAAGGATTAACTGATAATAATTTTTGAAAATGCTTTATTTTACAAAGAGTAATAGGAGAAATATGTTGGTGGTATTACTTCTTAAGGCTATGACCTCACATTATTCATGTCAAAAGCAGAATAAAACACAATCAATTTGCAATAAATCTATGGTATGCAATGTAAATGTTAAACTCTTTCCTGACTAGGAATTTAAAAAAAAAAGATGCTTGAATTCAGATGAGTAGAATACTTAAACCTGGTTTTATAGCTATAATTTTAGTCTTTCATTACACTGGTATGTTAGGAATCAAATATTTTGCATATATATGGTATTAGTTATGGATGTAATTTAAACATATTTGCAAAAAACATGGTACAGTAAGTAAAATAGTCATTTATTTATTTATATAAATCTGCCAATTTGTAGTACCATGAATTAACAGGATACATATGATATGGTTTTTATTGACAGGTGGACAAAGAAACTGGGTACAGGTTATATGTAATGGTGGTATAGCGTCAATGTTTGCAATGATATACATGTTAGATAATGGAGCAGGAGAAATGCCAGTAGACTTTTCTAAGGAATATACACCCTCTTTCTTCTCAATGGCTGTCCTGGGAGCACTAGCTTGTAGCTGTGGTGATACTTTTGCATCAGAGCTTGGGACTGTTTTTAAGTATAATACACAACCTAGACTTATAACAACATTTAGAAAAGTACCAACAGGTGGGTAAGACTTGTACTGGTTTCTCCTGTGAAAGGAGGTAAAATTAAAGATTAAAGATACTTGAATATTTGCCGATTATTAAGTATTGTAGATTTCTTTCAAAGAAATTGAGTTTGAGCAGTGTTGAGTTATTTGTTTTGTGAACATTTTTCAAAAAGTAATTACAGTACAAATATAGGAATTACTACACTGGATTTAATGGATCAATCTATTGATTTTCAAATTTTTTCTCTTGACCTCTAGACATTATTGAGCACCACATTCACCAGTGGGTTAATATGATAGAAAAACTGCAATATGCCTTTTTATCCATGTCCTTTTTTTCCGTTTAAATTTTATAACTATTCCTCCAGGAACAAATGGTGGAGTATCATTAGTTGGAACTTTTTGCAGTTTGATTGGAGGATTAGTGGTGGGTGTGGCCTATTATTTGACATTGATATTTTCTCTGTCAGATGTATACCTACAGAAATGTCCACCACAATGGCCTATCATACTGTTAGGTACTATAGCAGGAGTTCTAGGATCCACTATAGATTCCTACCTTGGTGCTGTATTTCAGTATTCTGGTAAGTATATGGTGCACTTAATCATGTTCTCTCAAAGTATAGTAACCTTGTTATTCACATATATATATCCTCAAGTTTGAAAGGAGTTACCTATATATTATTGGCTATTTTAAAATTTACAACCACTTTGTATTACTTCTTAAGTTCTTAGGATTACATCTTGGAGACTTTAGATGTCTTTATACTTGTAAATGGTCCTCTTGTTTTTCCAACAGAAACCTGAGCATTTACAGATGGCAGATTAATTTCCCCTTAAATAGAGATCTTTAAACAAAAGGAAAATTATGTGTAAATATGGCATCATGTTTTACAAAGATGACATTTAAAAGTTATTTCCCTTCCAATGGTTATCCCAGTGCAACTTAGTAAAGGAACCTGTGTTTCTTTTAACTTATTTGGTCCAGAAGGTTGTGTGAGTTTTTGTCATTATTATGCCTGAATTATTTTTAACCTTACATTTATTTGTTTTTACAATTTTTCTCACTTAAATAAGAGTCAAATGTAAATAAAAAACTAAGGAGATGTGGTATGATTGCCAATGTGATGACTTTCCTCAAGAAACCAAATGAATTGAAAGAAAGCAACTATATGTTACCATACACTCTTCAACAATGAGCAAAACCCATAAAACATGAATGAGCTGCTCAGGAAAATTTAATTTCTCTTTACTACAGACTTGTTCATTTGATTTTTTTTTTAATGAAAAACATGGCAAAAGAGTAATTCTTTCATTATGATTACATGTCCAGTTTTCAAAAATATTTACTCTGAACATGCTGAAACTTTCAGATGTTTTGAAAAGATTAATTTATGCACAATTGAAAGACTCTCTACAAGCAGTCATCATGTTTAATATTAAACATGTAGCAAGCATTGTTATAGTGGTAACATATAGTTACTGTTCGGAACTGACAAGATAGTTTTTGTCTCGCCTGCAACAAAAGTTGCAGTATGCAAGACATAGGTATTACTATCCGGCGTCAACGTAAACTATTTGTATAAAGCTTTACATTTCAGAAGGTAGAAGATTTGGATGCTTCATATCTTGTATGTTACGAAGTTTCCGTCAATCATATATTCATTGTCCTTGACTTCATTTTCATGGTTCAGTGACTGCTTGAAAAATAATTTGAGTTTTTTTATCATGTGAATTTCTCACTTATTATGAGTAATAGGATAAGTATATTTGGTATATGGGTTCCTTGCAATGTCTACATGTCTGTCAGACAGAGTTCACTTGACATCGACTTCATTTAATGGATCAGTGATCAAGGTTAAAGTTACGTGATTAGGTCTGTTTCTCAAATACTATAAGCAGTAAGTCAACTATATTTGGTGTATGGAATGATTGTAATGGGTACATGTCAGTCTGGCAGATTTCATCCGACCTTGACCTCATTTTCATGGTTCATTGGTCAATGTTAAGTTTTTGTGTTTTGGTCTGTTTTTCAAGTACTATAACCAATAGGTCAACTATATTTGGTGTATGAAATGATTGTAAGGTGTACATGTCTGTCTGGAAGGTATCATCTGACCTTGACCTAATTTTTATGGTTCATAGGTCAATGTTAAATTTTTGTGTTTTTATCTGTTTTTCAAGTACATTGTACTATAATTAATAGGTCAACAATATTTGGTATATGGAATGATTGTAAGGTGTACATGTCTGTCTGGAAGGTATCATCTGACCTTGACCTAATTTTTATGGTTCAATGGTCAATGTTAAGTTTTTGTGTCTTGGTCTGTTTTTCAAATACTAATAGCAATAGGTCAGCTATATTTGGTGTATGGAATAATTGTAAGGTGCACATGTCTGTCTGGCAGGTATCATTTGACCTTGACCTCACATTTATGGTTCATTGGTCAATGTTAAGTTTTTGTGTTTTGGTCTGTTTTTCAATTAGCATATGCAATAGGTCAATTATGTTTGTTGTATAAAAAAATTGTAAAGTGTATATGTCTGTCTGACACAATTTATCTGACTTTGACCTCATTGTCATAGATTTTTAAAAATGTTGAGTTTCTGTAATGCTTTTAGTAAAACCTTTATCTTTAAGACTTTCAACATAAAATCAATGGTCAGAAATCAGGCGAGACATTTCAGCGTCTGCACTCTTGTTTCTGAAAGTACTATATTTAGCAGGAATAATGTTTGAAATAGTCTCTTTATGAATCCTGCTTAATAGAAAGTAATACACCAGAAGCTAATTTTGGAAGAAGTTATCTTCTCTTGATCAATTGAGTGAAAAATTTGCTATTTAGCAATTCAGGTCCCTGGGAGACTCTAGTTAAATTTCTTAACTAATAATAAGTTTAATGTGCAGTTCAGATCTTCATTCCTTAGGGCCCTACACGTATATAACTTAGAGGAACAATGCATCTTTTGGAGGTAAAGCAGCACTCCACAAACATTAGGTCATTGTGGTCTTCATTTTATACTCCTCAGAACATTGTTAAGGGATGCACCTTTGAGAGTACAGCAGAAACCTGAAATAGTATGTAAAATTGACCTACATTTTACACTCTAATGAAGTTTAATGTCAAACTTTATTCCTCAGATATAAAGAGAGCCTCAGTCCTATAAATGTGTGTACATAATGCATCAAAAGGAGTATAGCAGCATCCAAAATTGATCTTATGATAGCATGTTGTAATAATATTTGTAGTTGATAATAGCAGCATCCAGCAAAAAAAAAGGCCACTCTGACTTACATTTTCTGCTTCTCATTTTTGGAAAATGACGCAGTCAATTTTCTTTTACCATTGACCAGACTTCCAAGCCGCTTTCCGAACCCGGTTCCGTATTTTACATACTTAAGTACTATACAGAATTTCATTCTTGTCCTGTCCATATATTTATTGGTATTAAATGGTATTTTGAGCTATTCTTTGGTATATTTTTCATATTTATACGAGTTTTCGCTTTTATGTGTATGTCTTTACAATCCGTAAAAAAATCAGAATATAAATAGATCCATTTTGTTATGGTTTTGGATTTTTACATACTAATGATAACCAATCGCTAGACAAAATTAGTTCTTGAAATAATGTAACCCTTTCTTGTCAGCTGAACTTTTAAATCATTAAAAAAAATAATACTCGGAATTATCTTGATATCCATATGAAAGACAATGCTCTTTAATAAGATTTAAAAAGTTTGTTTTCACTTTTAAAAGAATTAAAAGATGCAGAAACTTTATGAAAGGAGTAGACAGTGCTCAATAAATCATGCCAAAAGAATTTAAGGAAAGTTTTACCCTTTCTCTGACAACATAGACAACGTGGTCTCGCCCATTTTTTGAAACATCTACGATTATTTCATTACTTTTTCAAGTTTACAACTAAACTGTTGAACCTGTATTGTTTTGAGAAAAGCATTCCCGTTGTCCATTACAAGCCCATATTTTACGATTACTTGTCCTTGCATCGCTATTTTCAAAATCAAATATTGGATAACTAAACGAAAAATAAATATAAAATATCGAGATTTGCCATCAATTTTTCAATAACTATTAATTAAACATTATTTTAAAATCTATGTTAACAGTGGATGGCTTGGATTAGGAATGGCATTTTAATGATACTTAAAGACATGTCATTGGTGTAAACAGGAAATGCGTAAGGGAGACAATTATGGGTAACAAAAGTGCTAAAAACAGTATTGTCAAATCTTGTAAAATATTTCTGGTGGCAATATTTCAAATATTCATAAAATTACCAAACACAAACATTTCTATATTGATAATCCACCTTTAATAATAAAAAAAAGATTTCTATCATATTCATCTTGGAATATGATCAAATATGTTAGCCTTTTTTAAACATATTTTTAATAACATTTCAGTACTTATGGAAAGAGTTGTTCCATTTCTTCCTTTGATATTAAGGTGGCTCGGGCCTATTCGAAGTTTCTGTCAGAAGTGCCGTATTTTTTGTTATTTTAATCTTTACAGAGAGTGAATCAAATTTTTCGAGAAAAAAAATAGGGGGTCCCAGACCATTTAAGCTCAAAATATTACTTTTAAAGAGGTATGTAAAAGGGACAGTTTTCAATGAAATGATAGGGAAAATAGAGGTGTTGACATATTTTTATCGGAATATCAAAAAAACGTTCTGTGACACTTGGTTCAAAACTGTAATATAAAAAGCTGAAATATAGCTTTAAAGAATGAGCAAATAAAAAACATAGGTCACCGATAAGGAAAAAAAAATATTTTGCCTTAAAACCCAAAATTTGGAGGGAAAATGGTGAAATTGGGTGAAATGTCATTTTGAGTCTTTCACAGATATGACACATAATAACGATAATAATTTTTTAGTGACAAAAGTACAATGATTTAACATTTTTAATCAATCAAAATATTAAAAAAAATAATAGTGAATTTACGACACAAACTTTTCGTGTGCATGGTAATTCATGCGTGAAATTATGCGCAGTCGAATAGTCCCGATCCACCTTAAAGGATATACCAATTTTAATTGCAAAATTGTAATTTGATAGATGTAAATACAAGTTAATAAATAAAATTCCAATTTTGTCATTGGAAACCTTCTTTAAATATGTGTCAGTAAATTATGAAGCTGTGAAGGATATATAACTAGTTTATAAGTCAAACAACTAAAAGTGTGCTACATTTGGGGACGGGTGGTAATGAAATCAAATTATTTAAGTTATCTAAGCATTTAAATTTTTAAAGTTTAATAATAAAAATGTCACTTATTTGCATTTCTGTTAATGCACATGGCACATGTATAAAAAATGCTGGTCGTTGTCTATTTAATATAATATAACAAACTTGGTAGTTGTAAATAAATGTAATATCAAATCGCAAACACAACACTTAAGGTGATATTGAATCAATCAAGTATTGCGCGCTTACCACAGTGCTATAAAAAAAATCCTGGGGAGAACACTGGATTGTATTGCTTTCAGAGTTATGTAATACACCTTGCCTAAGAAATAGGTCTAGCTAGGTCCTTATAAAAAGTGAGGCTATAAT